ATTTATCAGCAAGGATGCTGTGCGAGACCGCACAGCTAACAAATCTCAGCTAACAAGTCATCAATCTGAATCCATATTGACAGGAGTAAGCCATCACACCTCAATACAAGCAGTCAGAATGACAAAATGAAATAACTAATAGCTGAAGTTTGAATGCAACATGCCCTTTGTGAGACGCACTCCCTTCATGCAGGCTAGCTCCAGGAGCAGCAAACCTGTTCCTACCCAGGCTGCAGGAGCTTCTCCTCACATCTCTCAAAATTTGTTTTAAGGTATGTCAAGAAGCTAACACTTCCTAACAAGTCTCAAACTCTGCATGTGCACAATTGAAAGTAAGGCAGTAGCCAAGATCAGCACCCAGAGGCATCCTATTAAGCAACTCTGTTTTCTTTTTAAAAGTTGTTTCTGCATATTCTCAGCTATGGAAATGTATTAAAGCTTAAAGGCCTCCAGAAATATGTGTTTAACACAAGTTTAAAAAGCTCAGGACAAAACATAATATCGTTTAATCCTACCCAATCAAAATTTAGCAGTGTTTTAAGGCGCATGCTCTGGAACAACAAACCAAGCGCATGATCTGGGTTACTGCTTTACCAAATTAAACCATTTTGGATGGTGATAGAGGATGGGCAACTGTAAGGGAAGGTGCAATGGTCGAGTTCTGATTCCTTTATTCTTCTTGCAACTCTTTTAAAAACCAATAACAACAGCACATCTAAGAACACACGAAACAAAGAGCTTGTCAAAATGACTTTTATGTACCATGTCAGGACAAGTTCCCTGGTCAGTGAAAAATCTTTAACAGCAACCCAGTAACTGTACAAGGCTGAAGACATGACATCTATGAAGTAGAAAATATTTTAAAATACAGATTCCTTTAATTTAAAATCTAGAGTTCACTGCCACACAGTTTTTGTGGAAATAAAGAGATTCTACACAGTTATCAAGAAAGTATTGCAAAGGGTGACATGGAAATCTGAAAAGTTTCCCTCAAAGATTTAAAGGCTTTTGTTAAGAAAACGAACTTAAAAATACTCTGTTTGCTTTATTTCTAAAGTTTAGCAGAAAAAAAAAATCCTGGTGCATCTATTATCACCTCCTACCTCCCATTTCCAGTTGTTACAAACAAACAATGCAGAAGCCCAAATTTATTCCTCCCTATAATCTTAGTTGGTTGCGACCCACTCCCTCTCGCACACCTTAGAATCCCATATCTGCCTCATGCTAACCTTTTTGGGTGTCCGAGCCTTGGCAGACTTTGCCTTCTTCCCACTCTTTTTGTTCACCATGGATTTCCTTCCCTTCTTCTCAGGAGCAGGTGAAAGGATGGTCTCAGATTTGCCTTTGGCACCCCGTTTCTTGGCTAGAAGCTCTGGCTGAATTCTGGGCAGGACACCTCCGCTTGCAATAGTCACACCTTTCAGCAACTGCAAGGAGAAGTGTAAAGGAGCACATTACAGATTCTCTTACTCTGCACTCAAGGTATTTCTGCTGACTATATTACACATATACAAGTAGAGTCTGCACTTCCCAAAGCATTGCACCTCATCCCTTTATCATTAAAAAAAAACCCCAAACAAACAAAAAACCCCAAACTCCTCAATAACTATAAGGGAGAAAATCCACAATAACAAGAAACCTAGCAGGTCACAGCAAGGTCAGCCAGCACATCCCAAAGAACTCCATTACTGTACAGGCCAGTCACCTGTCTCTCTTCCAGTGCTGGTCCTTCTGCATTCCTGTCCTTGGTGAGTCACAAGCAGTGAGTGAGGGTAAGAGGAGATAAGTGCCTGCAGGCTACTTTAAAAAATGATTGCACCACAGCCTTGCTCAAAGAAGGACTGGTTGTAGATCTCTTTGGCAGGGAAACAGGCTCAGTGAGAGCAAGCATGAGCCCCAAGAACCTGATTTGCAGAGGTGAACAATAGGAATGGGTTGTGACATTAGGTGGAGGACAAAACGTAGCTAATTCACAATGGACAACAGTAGATCTAGTCCCCATTTCACGGGCCAGTGACCAGCACCACAGAGAAGGGAATGGGCTGGTAGTGTTAGCATGCTTTTCCCTCTCTCCTGGCCTTTGTTTTGACTTTTCAGTCCCTTTGACTGGAAACAGAGCTAGATTACTTCATGGGTACCACATTTTCATTATTTAAAGCAGTCAAACTAAGTGCAGGAATCTTTCAGAGTGTGAATGATGTCATCCATCTCCACATGGGGCCAACCAAGAAGGGATCCTCTGATGCTGACTGAACCTTTCTTGCACCCCTGAATGCTGCAATTCACAGTCCATGCCATGATCTCTCTTCTCACTTAAGAAGTTTAGCAGAATGATCCCACAAGTGATCCTCAGAGCCACAGCACTGCAACCTACAGTCTGGGTGCTAATGGGACCTAGGCATGCAGAGGGGGAGGCAGTCCTGGAGGCAGCAATAGTGGAGAGTGAGCCAGATCCCTACCCAAGATGGGCCTCACAGACAGTATAATAGAAAACACACATTTCTACAGCTTTTGGGAAAAGGTCTTCCATATGGCACATTTTCTTTAAGCATTGGATGTCCCTGAGGAAAAGAATAAGCATCAAGTTTACCCTCTTCAACAGGACTTACAGGCTATGAAAGAAGTAAAATTTATACCCAGAAGATTTATACCCATGAGATATATCCAAACCTTCTTTTTTGTTTGCTTTTATTCAAGTGGGCATAATCTTGTCTCCTAATTGTGTTCTCATTCATCTGTCAGACTAAACTATTTCCAGCCGTCTGTGGTAGCAGCTTCATTCATGCCACAGCATGTAACTCTCACACTGAAATGTAAACAGGTACCTGATTCAGTTCTTCATCATTTGCAACTGCCAGAAGGATGTGTCTGGGGGCAATTCTTCCTTTCTTGTTGTCTCGTGCTGCATTTCCTGCTAATTCTAGAATTTCAGCTGTAAACACATTGAGATAAAAATGAGTAACAAAAACACAACTTATGTACACTCTATATAAACATTTTCCATTCCTTCTTAACATCCATTTACCTTTTCAGGTATGTTTCAGTTTAAATGGTCTTTGCTACAGAAAGGCAGAAACCAAACCATACTCAATGTATTTGTAAATTTACGTAAAATAATTAATCCTTCCTAATTCCCTAAACGATAGCTAGCAGAAAATATGCTAAACTTGGTTCACATAACTTCTTTTACAAGTCCCAAGTCAGAATTCTCTTTCAAAACACCCTATAAAAATGTACATCACCAGTCCAAAATTTAGCAGTAACCCTGTAACCCAGTAACAATAAAACCGTAAAGCATGCAGTGAAACCCTAAACCTAGTACAGACAGTTCTGACAAAACAACAAGGATTCTCACGACCAGGTAAGACGAAGACTGAGGTGCATTTTAAAGAAATACTTTGAAAGCCAACAAACTAGCCAGGCGATGCTGCAATTCTGCATTAAAGGGCATTGAAAATCTGTGAGAAGCTTCATTCAGAACAAGATATGAAAGATTTGACTCAGAGGCAAGCAGAGACAACATAAGAGCTTCAATGCACGAACTATTGGTAGAAAGTTCCTTCTACAACTCCAGAAACAGGAGGTCATTTCAAAACTAGTTTCTCTAAATTTACAATAAGATTTATACTGTGACTAAAGTTACTGAGCTTTTTCTAATTGTTATAGAGGAAACACAGACATGTCTTTCTGAGTTTATTTAAACTGTACCAATCAGTATAATTAATTAACTTACATAGTTTGGCCCCTACTCAGAAGTTATTTCTTGTATTAAGAACTGTACTGAAATGCTGAGAAGGAAGGAGAATGGAATGTTTTGTTCCAAATGATCATAAAAATCATATTCACATTTTGTTTCATTTTAAAAGTATCCAGTGTCCCTGCTTCCTGGTTTTCATTTTTGTATTTACATCCGTCAGTAACGGGCGTAAGAAAGTTATAGCCCATCAGTGTCCTGTTAATGGTATCTTACTCCTTCTTCTCTACTAAATAAAGAACTGTAACTATTATAAAAAGACCTTTCATGAAAAATCTAGTGGAAATCTACATAATGCTCTCTGGCTAAAATCCAAAGGATTTCAACAAGAGGTTTAGCTCTAAGTTCATGGGAAAAATACAAGCTTTCAATTTTACACAGTTAGAATAACAAAAGTGCATACTTGTCATCCAGTTTTCACTACTATACAGCATACACACCTAACTGAATGTTGGAGATGTAAAAGCCATTGTTTAGGATTATGTGTATATTCAGTGTATTGCTTAAGAAACAGCCAGTGTCTGTCGAAAACTTTCACGACTATTCATGCAAAACTTTCAAGAAACATTATCAAAGTTGCAAAGACAAACACTTAAATTTTTGAAAATATTAGAACCATGGTTATGATAACTTTTTCCTCCTGCCACAAGGAAAAAGCAGTGTGCAACTGGACAATCAGAAATAGTATCACACCACAAACACATACTGGGCCTGCATTAGAAGTTTGGGCAGCAACCTTGGCTCTGGCATTTCCTAACTTTGGAGTGTTTGACTTGGATTGCAAAGAAGGAGATGGAGAAGAGACCCTGCATAATCCAGCTATAATCCTGTGGTGGCTGCAGGGCTGGAAGTTTCAGATGCAACCCCCAGACCTCTGCCAGTGAAGCTAATGCAGCAGCAGACAGTGGGAGCAGATTGCCATCCATTGTGCAGACCAGCATGAAGCAAGAATAAAAGACTCAGACTCCTCCAAGGAGTTTTGCAGACTGGTGCTAACAGCAGAGGAAGACTGCATCGGGGAGGGGGGAAAAAAAAAGCAACACATACTTACCTGCGTGGAAACTGAAGTTCTTTCAGATGTGCCAACAACAGGCACATCCTGCTACCTGTGTGCTCACCCCACTCCCCCAGCTTCTGGGTCCTTTGGCCAGCAGCATCCTGATGGTGCACTCAAATGTCCTCTGCCTAATGTTAAGAGCAAAAAACGCAGAACACTCAAATGCCAGCCCTCTACCACAGGACACCAGGAAGAAGGGAATCCAAGGCAGAGACGATGTAGGGCAGACTGTGGAATACGCATAAAACTTAACAAAGGATGCCAGTTATTTGCATAGGTAAATAATTGCCTTACCTCCTTCTAACAATTGTCTATATGCATATTTTCATAATGCTGGAGGCAAGGAGTCAATTTTAAGAATATAAAATGGCACTTGCAAAATGCAACATCAAATCTGGAGGCCTCAGTTACCACATCCTCTGCTGATAAGAATAGATGCCTAAAGAAACTACTTTACATTTCAAGCAGAAATATCTTGATAGCTGAGGTTACCTAAACTCTAAGGAGATTAGTCTGAGAATATAGCTCACATAATGGAAGTCCTGTACTATATGGAAATCCTGTACTATATATAGTCCTATACTATAGCTCTCTTGAAACTGGGCATCTTGATATTATCAGATGTATGTTGGTTTTACTTTACATCCTCTCAGCTGCAGACATTAAGAATTAAAGTGAAATCTGAAATAATCTTGCTTCCCTCGAGATTCAAAATCCATACAAGAAGCCTCCACACTGGAAGCGTAACTTCAAACTCAGACATCTTCAGCGCAGATTGCTAGAAGCTCATTTATGCACTCCACAGTTCACCTTAGCCTCAAACAGACATCAAATGCATGTCAACAGAGAAATGCTCAGATCTGCCCACTGACTCGACACACCACCCAGTCTTACTAATAGAGCCTTTTCTCCTGTTTGATAAGCACTCAGGACCAGGGAAGAACCTCACTGTCTTCCAACCAACAAAAGCTGCAGCCAAGCTATGACCTGAATGGGATTACATCTTCTCATCCTATGACATACAGGAAAAAGAGGTTTCTTTAGCTGATGGACCAACAAATTTGGAGTGTCTGGGAACTAAAAGCATCATAGCCAGGCCAAAGCTATTTGTCCAGCTGACCTCAGCCTGCTTTTGTGAAGTGCTCAGCTGGACTGATAAGAAAGATTCACAAAAACTACTGATAGCAGAATCGGGAAGATTTCAGACAGGGTATCTTGTTTTCCACTTCCCCGTTAGGATAAGTTTTGACAGTTGCTGCTACACTATCACGCACAAATCTATCCAATAATACCTTTGCTCTGAAAAGACTTATCAGATGATGGAGTCCTTGGTTCTCCATTTGCAAGTGGAAAAGTATCTGCTCAATTCGTTTCCTGAGGGCAGATGAGTGAAACAGACAGAGGAGCATGCCAGCTGATGTCCTTTGAAGGAGGAGGTATTTGCTGGTGTTGTGTTCTGCCCTAATTTAGAGAAGATGGGTTTCCATTGACGTCTTCTGTGAGTTCCTCTGACCAGCACACCACTCATGTCTTCTGCTTCCTAAGCAAGAGGCATCTGTATTCTTTGCCTACATTTTGGGAAGATGCTTTATGGGACACACGCAGTTGATGTTTGATTTAGATGATGATGACTGTAGTCAGCCCCTTGCACACTCAGAGCATAGTCTGGCATGCATCTGTTGCAAAGTCCATAAATCCAATGGGACTAAGGCCAATTTTTCATGGAGTTTTAACTCTGAAGCCAGTGGAGTCCAACACTGTTCCAGTAAACACAACCTTCTGGATAGGAATTAACCTGCAGTTTTGCAATATGATTTTCAAGCCTAAGATATAAAACAGCATAGAAAGATTAAAAAAACAAGCCTTAGAACACTGATGAGATCTCCTTCACATTAGCTCATCGGTCGAGGTAAAAGTACCTCTTCTTGAGATACTCTGTGGTGATTGCTGGCATTTAACAATGGGGCTGATAATCCACAGCATAGATTTGGTATTGAGAGTGGCTGTGGGGGGCAGCCACAAACAGTCTTGCACACGAAGGGAAAAAACAGGCATCTAGTAGCTGATGACACTGAACACATACCAAAGCCAAAAGGCAGTCTGAACCACGTGGCAACTGGGAACAAGGATGCTAAAGCTGTATACGCACCACCCGGATGACGCTGGTCAAGAGGCTCAGTGCTTCAGGGCAACACAAATACGGGCCATCAGCAGACCACGTGCATGGCTGATCACTCACAGGAGAATCGCTGGTCCATGCTAGGCCCTGGATGAATGCAGTCAGATAACTCTGGTCCTGTTTGACCCTTCCAGCCTCAGCCACCTTGCCCCTCTCTCAGCCATGACTTGCTTTCCCAGCTCCACAGCCCATTCTCCTTCCCTTGCCAATCCACACCCAAGACTTCTATCTCAGTTGCCTTTCCTGGACAGTCTCCATTTCTACTATCTACTCCTCTCAGTTGCAGTAAAACTCAAGCTCAATCTTCCTTTCTAGGTTCTTCATTATCAGCACCCATTCCATCCAATTCTAGGTCTATGCCCTATTTTTCCAACTTACTCTCCAGCTCCCTGGCAGGATTTTTGGACATGCCTTGCCATTTATTTGCCCACTAGTCATCATTTCAGCTCTCCCCACTAGCCAGATCCATCCCGAGCTCTGTCTCTAACATCAATATTGTTATTCTCCCATAACCACTGTCTCCTCAAAATGTTATTATCTGTTCCCAGTCTCCTTCCCTGACCAATGTGGAACCTGTTCCCAGTCTCCCAGTCTGCTTATTCAGCTTTAGCCTCTCCGTCAACTCCTATGCACGTATTCCCTGCCTTCAGTCCCAGACCTCTTGCCACCACCTCTGTGCAGCTTTTGTTGGTTCTGCCTTCACATCAGAGCTTCCTCTCTGTGCTGCCAGCTACCGCTGAGACCACGGAAAGCTCACTCCCTGCTCTCAGTGCTGTGACCTGGAGCAGCTGGGGACAGCAGTGAGAGGGAAAGTCCTTCTGAGCACCTGTAGCCATGGGCTGAAGCACGCTCAGCCACGGCATGGAGTGGCCCAGGCGCAGTCCTGTCACACGTCAGAGCTGAGAGGTTGAAGCATGCTCCTTCACTCTGGGGGAGACGATGCATAGGAAGTTTGGGCAGCACTGGGAGCTGCAAGAGGCTGGAGCATGCTCAGTGAGGAACAAGTCTTTGGAGATTTTGGCTGTTAAAAGAAGTCTCTGCCGAGCATGAGGAACCTGTGATTTTTCAAAGTTACAGCTTGGCCAAACAGAGCAGATTTCTCTGAGACGGCAGAGACCACTCTTCTTTTGTAAAGCATCAAGTCTCTGCTCAAAAGCAGAGAAGCTCCCAGACGTACAGAGGAGAAGTTCTCATGAATGTTTTAACTTAATAAAAAACCATGGTTCAATTTGCTTCTGTGAAACAGTTTAAGAACCAGACTCCCTTACTCTCACACTCCTCAATCTAGCCTTAAGCAGCTCGCCAGTATGCAGGGCGTGAGTAGCCACCATTTCATAGTTCCAACTCCATGAGGGAAAACTGGCATTTGTAGGAAGTATCAGCTAACGTTATGAAATGTTACCAGTTTGATATATAATACCCCATTTAACAACAGCCTTGGAAAAACACATTTTGTTTCTAAAGGCTTCCCAAAATCAAAGACTATATTCACACACAGATATTAGGAATAACTAGATCAGCAGGGTTAGACGTTGCAACACTGTTTTTTAATTGAACTATCCACCTTTCTAATCTTTCCAAACAAAGCTCTGGATAGAGCACAGAAGCTTTGGTTTGGAAAGAGCACTATCCACATGCAATAGGAGTTTGCTCAGAAACATGACTCCATTCTATTACAAAATACACGGGGCTGGGGAGAGAGGGGGTTCTCCCTCTGTTGAACCAAGCAGCTTAAAATAACATTCTTTTACAATTTATGTGGGCCCCCAGCCTACACATCTAGCAATTTTCTTGCCTGGTTGACTACACGTTATTTTTTTCTAAAACAAAGCCTGGGCCCACACATAATCTGCCCTTACCATACTAATGGTTTAAATTAAACTGCACTTACTAGCCAGAAGCAGAGCCAACATATACACTGTTCTAGTTCAGATAATAGGTAAACAGTGCTGCACTGTGTTATAAAAAGATGACTATAACTCAGTCTGCATTACCAAAGCGCTGCATATACCAGATGTGCTGTTGACAATTTATTACTACACCTTGAAGTAATTGCCACAGCTAAGAACAAGCATCTCCAAATGTTTATCCTAGAAACTTCTTTAAATGCTATGGATCCCTGTGGAGTGGGAAAAGAAAAAAAGTGTTCCTCCCCAGACAGAAGGTCAGCAGAGTCATTATGCAGGATGTTATTCAGTTATAAATGTTAGTGCAATTTCCAAAACCTACGTCATATGGTTTTCATCTTGCAACACCCAGACATCCAGAAGTCTGTAGAGGACTTCTAAGCAATTCACAACCAATGATAAAGTAAAGCAAACACATCTTGCTATAGAGAAATCCATATTTATGACATTCCTGAAAAGGCCTGAACCTCTACTAGAAAACATAGAGGGGTCTATCAACAAAAACAAGGTTGAAAATCACTGTGGTAGAGCAGAGGACCTACGAGAGCTATGGATCCCCTGTCTCCACTTTTCCCCCTACCTCCCTGCTACCTCTGAAGCATCCCTGCTGAGCACCACTCCATGTTGTAAACAGATAAACAAGCTCTAAGAGTCACAGACTTCCCCAGTACAGCACAACTGCACCAGCTCCACTGAGAGAGAGACTTCTGCAGTTACAATACTTCATTTTTAAGGCATAAAACTGGATTGTGCAAATACGAGTATATGTACGTTCTTACTGAAGTGAAAGATCTCCAAAATTACTCAGAGAACTGATCTTTCTCTGTGATGTAACGGTCTTAATACAAACATGTTTGTTCTTACACAGTAAAAAAATGAAATAAAATGAAACAAGTGGGAGAGATGCTCACCATCTTGTATTTTGGTTCTAGTTTTCAGTGTTTTGTTTTATTTGAAAACCAGCTCCTTTTCTGAAGTTATCTCTTGAAGGAGCTGAAGGTGAACATAAACATAAGCTTAAACATTTTGTTGACATTTTTTCCACATGAGTCACTTTTTCTTTTTCAGTCAGAAAATAAATCAATTCTCATCCTGCAATTAATCAGTAGAAATGCGGAAGTTTCTGTAACATGCTACTTGGTATCATCAGAAATTTAATTTACTAATAGTGAAATTATCACTATTTCAGATTTTCTCCATAGTTTTGAAAGAAAATAGTGCTTTGATTGTCTGGTAGAGAGAAAAGGCTTTCACGTAGAAAAAAAGACAGCAATGTTTGCATAAAGAGTGGCATGCTGTTACATGGACAATCATCTTCTTCCCCACCACTTTGGCAATAAACTATGCTCCTGAAACACAACCCATTCAATTAATTCCATCCAGGCTTGTGACTCCTCACAGATTCTCTAATGCACCTCAGTCTTGATCTGTAACACCTAAGTAACCTGAACCAGAATCCTTCTCCACTGGGCGTTGTAACTATTTGCTAAGGTGCTATTTTCCACAATTAAGTAAGAAACAGAGCAGATGCAATCATAAGACAGTGTCAAACACTGCAAAACACCACAGTATATTGCAGTATATTGTATCATCGTGTGACACCTGCCCCTTCCTCTGAGGTCAGTTGCAGAAAGGAGGGAAAAGCTGGGGTATGGGGGAAGATTCAAGCACTGTCACAGTGTCTTTATACACTTAGGCAAGCCAAAAGGATTTTTAAACTACAAATGAAAAACCTCCAAATTTTATGACACTGCTCTGCAAGGAGAAATGCAGCCAGCAGAACAGTTCATTCACTTAAAAAGCACAATAGATGTACAAGGTAGGTTTGCAATTTTTCTCTCCTGTTATTCACATCCAGGTATATCAAAAGCCTAATTCATATCAGTTTTCTCTTGGACAGAAACTACCTAGATGTGACTTCTCACTCTGCAAAGCAATAAAAAAATAATCCTTCCAACTAGTGACCAAGTACGGTGCCTCTAAAGGAGAAAATTTCCACCCTCAGCCTCTTCAAGAAGCAAATTAATCTCCAAATTTTAAGCAAATTTCATCAAATCCTGCACTTGCAGAGCCTGATTTTCAGAAGTGCTGAACACATTCATACCCCATCCCACGGATATCCCTGGCTTCTGTGTGTGATCAGCACTCCCAGGATCAGGTTTACCTGCTAGGTACTCTATGACGGCTGCCATGTACACTGGTGCTCCAACACCTATCCGGTACTTGTACGTTCCTTTCTTTAAGTAGCGCATCATCCTCCCCACAGGGAAAATAACACCTGCCCTGCTTGAGCGTGACAGTTTGGACATTTTCTTCTTCCCACTTCGGCCCGACATCTTGCAGCTTTGTGCTTTTCAATTTGCTGGTGATCCTTATTCCCTTGCTCCAATCCAAAAGCTGCAAGAGAAAAGAAATGGGATTGGTGTTCAGCATGTGAGAAATAACTTTGCACATTATCTTGTTCTTCCAGAAGTAAAAATCCAAACCTATTTTCAATACCTTTTAAAGCTGAAGCATTAATCATTAAAAGTTGGATAACTGGAACATTTACTATAGCTTTTCTTTTGACTACTGCACTGTCAGTATAGCATTATCACAGGAAAAAAGTGGTTTGGATAGTATTTTAGAAAATAAAATCAAATCTACGTTAAATGAATCTTCATTAAAAAAAATTAAAAATCAAAAAACAAATCACACCAAGGCAGACATCCACAGCATGGAAGATTTCCATGTTGATTGTTGAGTTTAGCAAGTTATAAATGGTTGAGAAGAACTAGCGTAATGGACAGCATTAAACAAGCTGAAAAGCAGATACTGGTGCCACCTAGAAGTAGAGGAAGTCATACTGCTTGCATAGGAGAAGATAAAACCTACCTACAAACACACTGCTTCTTCACAGGTCTTTTATACAGGGAATTTCACATGCATGGCTGAAGAGGAGAAGCAGGCAAGCAGCCATGCTTCAAGCACCTCCCCTCATGCTGCTCTGGCCTCAGGAACTGAGCCCCAGGGGCCAGCTTACAGGCTTCAGCCCTTTCATAATTTTCCCCTGATCACCTTCACAGCAGCTCCTGGGAGCCCCAGGAGCCTTCCTCCATGGAGCTAAGGCGAGGTTTCTAATCTTTCATCTTAAAAGGACTGGTTGCCAGGTTTTTCTGCCCATCAAGCTCCCTGAAGATGTGTTTTTTCCCTGCATTAAGAGCCAACCTAGTCTATACCTAGAAGCAAAGAAAACAAATCTCATTTTCTCCTTGTTTTTCTGGCAACAGTGAGATTGCAGGTAAACAAACAACAAGCCTCAGAGTCAGCCACTTCACTTTCAAAATGTGCATGTGGTCGTAGCTACACCCCTAGTTCTCACTCTCGGTCACATAATGGGGAAGTTTTAATTCTGTTTCCAAAAATTGTTTTTAATTGCATCTTGATAGCTGCATTGGTGGCCTAATTGTGATCCTGGTTACAACACAATAGATCAAGACTCACTCCTCTGAAATACACAAAGAGCGCGTCTGCCACAGATGGTATTTCTGTCAATAAAGGCACAGCTACTTAATTCCCAGTATTCACTCACCTCACTGAAACAAGGAAACAAAAGGAGGGAGATAATTTGAAAAATATCAGGATGACTTTAGGTGACACTGTTAAATTTTATCACAACCTGCATTTTAAATAGCCTTCCAAAAAAAAAAAAAAAAAAGTCATTTGACACCACTGCAGGCTCTTGGGAACAATTAATATTCATCCAAGGAGGCCACAGAAATCTCCATTTTGTTCTTATGATGCTTACTGCAAATCAAGTGCATATACAAAGAGGGTTTCCTGTCCCATACGAAGCCAGACATTCACAGAAACCAGCTGATCATCAGACAAATTCAAGGGTGGGTTTCTACCATAACCCAGCTTGAACGCTGGTTTCACTTACGATACCAAGGTAATAAAATCACCACAGGGTCTGCAGGGATCTCTAAAACCCTGGCATGTCCTTGTCTTATTATTTATTGCTAGATAATTATTATTAATTATTTAATTATGAAATATTTAATTATTGATTAATTATTGCCAGGTAATTTTTCCTTTCTTCTCTGGGCATGATAACAAAAATTGGGAAAGATTAAACTAGTAAACTCATCAGACACAAACACCTCAAAATTGGTGCTGCTCATCATCCCACTGAGTTCCTTGCAAACTGCCAGCCTGGAATCGCAAGTAGTGGTAAAAGAGCTCATAAACTGCCACTTGGAAGTGGGGATTAGAGGCAATGGCCACTTCAAATAGAGACAAGCAGAAAACATTCCCAAGCAATTCATTAATTGCATTGATGCATGGGACAGACAACAATTGCTAAGCAGCAGCTCCAGGGACTAGGACCAGCTGGTTATGGTGGGGAAAAAGCTGTTGTGACAAGGCAAACCTTGCCTCAAAGTGTATTAGCAAGAGGACAGCCGGTGCTGAGCTGAGGAGCTATGTCCAACTGCAGATACCGTGCTTCAGCAACGACAATACAGAAGAGGGTGGTAAGAATGACTGGGTGTCTCATACAAACTAAAAAGGAAGGTGAAAAGAAGCAGGGAGATATGATCATGGTCTTTAGAGACGTAAAAAGGCTGCTTCAAAGGTGGAGAGAGTAAGTGTTCCCTATAAAAGTGACAGGAAAAGAGCAGGACTCTTACAAAAGCTGAGTAGCAGAGAGGAGAGTGAAGCACTGGGGACTTGGTCAGATGTGGAGGAGGCAGAATCTTCTCACCAGGACATCTTTAAAATGGTTAGAGAATATACGTCAGAACTAGCACAGGCAGCCTTGGATCTGCCTTGGGACAGGAGGCTGGACCAGGTAATCTCTTGAGGTCCTTTCCTCCAGCCCTCTTGCTCGATGAAACCTGCAATTTGTGACAAACCTTTTATAAACTTTCCATTTCATATTATGCTACTGATTAACATTTATAAAGTGTCCTTTTCAGTTTGAGATAACTGGCATTCAAGTTAATGAAGAAGGGTAGGCTGGGAATTCAGTTTCTAGCCATCAAAGGAGCAAACTTCTGGAACAGCCTTCTCTTATGAGTAATATGAGCAACAATAACTCATTTTTAAGGTGGAACTTAATAAATGTATGCACTAGGCTACAGTCTGATTCCTGCAACACCAGCAGGACAGTTTTATCACCCAAGAGTTCAGTTCTGCGCTGAAATCCCTACAGAGAGCCATGCTGAAAGAGTACACTACAAACCACCATGTACCAAAATCATATTAAGCTAACCTCTCACACATTTGCTCCCACAGTACCATATCCCAAATGTTTGTAAATCAATGAAAAAAAAGCAAACATCATGAGGTTGCATCCACAGAAAATACCATGGTTGCACCCGACCTCTCTGATAGAAAATTAAAACACACTTGTATAACTGAGCACACTGCTCTGGGGCATGCTGCTGCATTATATACATTTCTGTTTAATTAATCACTCCTAGCTCATTCTTCTGTTGCCTCACTGAACTTTCCACCTCTGTCTCTACCTCTTTATTTTTTCCTTCTCTCTCACAGCAAGTCTCAGTCATTTTTAGCCCTGCTGCTGAGGCAACCTTTGGAATCGCAAAACATTTTTCCAAATACATCAGAGGTAACAGATCAGGTATGTTTGCAGAATTTTGTGAGAGCCTAAATACAAAAGAGGTTTCTAAGCTCTGCTAACACTGTCTCTCTTCTTTGCAACTTACATGGATCAGGGTATACTGGGCATTGACATATACAACAATATGTTCTTGTCTTGTTTTGAATCCTATGGGAGGCAATTTTTGGTAGAAAGCCAAGCTATGGCATAGCCACGTTTACCAGAATACAACTCCCGTGAACCTGGATGAAGGAATGCAGTACGCTGGGTTTGCCAACATCTACGCGAGGCACCTTGGAGGGTGGACAGTAAGGGAATGGTTCACAGGCTCAGGTGACGGTCAGTCCTCAGGATCTGGAAACTCCCCTGCACAGAAGAGCTACGCCTGGTCTGCAGTGAGGCCCCAGGGATTTGTGCCTGCTGACTCATTCCTCCCACCAGCAGGGATTTGGTTTACCTTGGAGGACACACACCAGCTCAGCCCTGACGCAGTTGTGTGATGCACTCACCTGAACTGCTCCAAAGCTGCAGACAGCTGAAGAGCTACAAGTTGAACACTGATGTCCTCATTGTTCTCTTTGGATGATACAGCTGAGCATCCAGGGCTTATCAGCTGAAATGCACTTGAGTCTGCCCACATTCATTCCCTCATTGCCAGCTGATTCATCATCTCTACGTGTGCCCTTATAAACTACAGTCTCTGTCATTTATGTGAAGTCCATCCTCGCTGAGTTAGAACAACTGCGTCTATATCTGGCTACCACGACATCATGAGGCTTGGGCAATTTAAAGCAATTAATGTTTTCAATCCCTTAATTGGTCACGGCACACTCCTACTCTGCCATGACTCCAACATCCCTGTGTTGCTATGGGGGATTTAGTAGCTACCAGATCTCCCAGAGCTCTCTACAATATGAAGAAAACAGGGTAGACTTTTGCAAGCTGGGCCTTCCTCCGTGAATTAAATCTTCAGAGACCCAAACAACCAGCAGTATTTGCCTTCTGCCTGCTGGAAAAAAAGCCTTTACCTCCTTGCCTTTCTCAGGAGGGTCCTTCCACTACAGACTCTACCACCCTGTTTTCTTCCACCATGGTTATCCACAGAGAGTGATGGCTGCTGCACAAGGGCACTGGAACAACAGATTGTCCTTGGACATTCCTCTCACCATAGTGCAATTTGCATCCCACACCACATCCTGATGGCTCAAGGTTTAGCAAAGCAACCTTAAAGCCACTTCCCAGTGCTTCCTACACAGATGCTCAGAACGAAATCTCATCATCATCTTTAGGCGGTAAGGACACATATATTTTTTAGAAAAGTAAAAATAACATGCAGACACAGAAACAGACTGCAACCTCCACACGAGCCTGAACTTGAAAAGCCGGCCAGGAAGCATTTTCAGAGATTAACATGTCAAGATCTAGCAAGAAGGCATGAACGTGCATCAGAAAGTTCAGTATGGTACAAAAAAATCTAATTATTCACTAAGAAAAATCACAGAAAACAGTAAAAGAAACCTTAGTTTGTACAATCTAGAGCAAAAACTGTTGCAACACTGATGGAGAAAAGTAAATTCTGCCTGGTCCTCATCACATCCCAGATCATGTGCAAGACAAAGGCAAGTTAAGAGAATAGCTGCACCAAATGGAAAACTAGCAACTAGTTATTACTAAATATTTGAGCAATAATTAGGTAAACTCCCAATCAGATTAAAACAGCTGGCATTGCACCTTATCCTTCAGGACTTTACAGGTGGCTACAATGTCATCTGGCAGACTAAAATTTAGCACAGCCT